ATTTTGAAATAAATGAATTTAGAAAATTTTCTTACTTAATTACTTTTAATCTCCACCTTCCATTATTCCTAACACAATCCAATGGTCAATATTCAATCCTACATTTTGCCACTTTTCTCCTCTATATAAACTCATCTTCCCCACATTTTTATATATACAACTTACATACATTCTTCAATCCTCATTTGTTCAAAGTCTCCATTGTTTATTGCTCTCTCCAAGCTTACAAGTTTATTTCTTTTCATCTTATTCTTGAGAGGGATTATTATTATATTGTGAGGAAATAGTTGTCAGTATCCCAAATTGTAAATCTACTCTTTGAGAGAGTTGTGGTGTGTTATTATCAAACTCAAATACTTGTATCGGTTTGATCCTGCGTCGTTGAAAGGATTGAGTTTGCTCTTGAACTCGTAAAAAGAGCGGTGTACCGGTTTGGCTCTGATCCGTGGAAAGAGTCGGAAAAGTTCTTTATTCAAATTCCCAAGAGGCGCTTGGGGAGTGGAGTAGGTCGAGTTTGACCGAACCACTATAAAACTACGTTGTCATTTTCTCTAACTCTTTCCTATTTAATTTCAAGATTATTATTATGTTTATTGCATGTTCTACTTGATTATTGTTTTGACTTGAATTATTTTGTTTTAGTAATTATCATCTTCTACTTATTTGTAAAAAGTTTTATCAATAGAAAAATTAATCAAGTTTAAACACTTTTATCGTTAAAACCCTATTCACCCCCCCTCTAGGGTTGCCATACCGATCCAACAAGACTTACTTAACACCTTCATGCTCCAATATGTATTTATTTTTTTGGAGGGGATATTTAAATCTCTTAACTAATACCTCTTCAGCTTCTTGAATTTGTTGGTTAAGGATATATGTTTTAACCCGTTAGAGTTAGTGTTGAATTGACATATTCATTTTTTTTTATTGTGTCATAAATTTATTGCGTTTACCAATCATCCATAATCATCCACTTGAATAGCTAAAACCTACATATTCCTTGTTGGCTTTGGTAATTTAATGTTTCTATTCATAGCCTTGATGGTTTGTCTTTGTGTAGTTATAAATTTTTTACTGCACAACTTGAACAAAACAGGATGCCTTTTGTGGTGTGATTTCATGTTAGGAGATTAGTTGAGTTTAATATGATGATGGTGAATATGACTTGTAGTTTGAGACCACAAAAGGAAAAAGAAAATATCAGTGGGTGTCCACATATCAGCACTAGACTTTGCCATATGGTTTGTGGGTCCATTTCCCAGAAAGATTTTAGGGTCGTGTGAAATTTGGATCATGAAACATAATAAAGAACCTTTTTGAGACACCCCTCAAAAGAGTTTGGAGAAAGATAAGTAACCCCCCATGGTTTTAAACATTACTTTAATCTTGAAAGTGATTTTGAGATTGAAAGATTCTAATCAACCTTAGTCTTCCAAGATTATAGTATTGATTTTTTTGAGTGGCATCATTCTATTACTGATTGCTTGCTTGCTTGCACTTTATTTGGCTTGCCATTGAAATGATATCTATCTTTTGGCTGATTGATAGGGCAACAATAAAACAAAGGAACAAAAGGCAATAGATGATTGGCTTCCAATTTCTTCTTCAAGGAATGCAAAATGGTGGTATTCTGCCTTTCACAATGTGGCTGCCATGGTTGGTGCTGGCGTCCTTAGTCTTCCGTCTGCAATGGCAAACCTTGGATGGTAGTAAGCTCGAACTCGGATGGTAGATAGAAATTAGTGAAACTTTAACTAAATATAGTTGTAACTAACCTAAGGGTAAGAGCCCAAACTCAGTGATTGTCTTTGGCTATTCCCTTTCGAATTTTCCCTCGAGATTTTTAAGATGCTTATGTCAGAGAGAGGTTTCCACATCCTTATAAAGAATGTTTTAGGGTCCAACTTCCTCGCTTGCACTCGTTCCCTTCTCCGATCATCCACCCCACTTCGGGGTCTAGCGTCCTTGTGGGCACACAGCCTCATGTCCACCCTCCTTCGAAGCTCAGTCTCCTTGCTGGTACATCGTCCAGTGTTTGGCTCTAATACCATTTATAACAGTCTAAGCGTACCGTTAGTAGATATTATTCTCTTTGGGCTTTCCGCTTCGAGCTTCCCCTCAAGGTTTTTAAAACATGTCTGCTAGAAAAAAGTTTCCAAACCCTTATGGAGAATGTTTTGATCTCCTCCCCAATTGATGTAGGATCTCACATTAGTAGTTATCGAAGCAAAAAAGTAAAAAAATTTTGAGAATAGGTTTAAACTATAGCGACCATCAACCAACCATTGTTCAATTTAGATATTGATATCAAAAGTTTATTAAACACAACATTGTCATGTCATATTGGACTCGAGTGTGAGCTAATTTGACCTCTTCGATTGGCATTGATTGATCCAATCAATTTGAATTTGCAGGGGTCCTGGTGTGGTTGTCATGGTATTGTCATGGATCATCACTTTATACACATTATGGCAAATGGTGCAAATGCATGAAATGGTTCCTGGGAAGAGATTTGATAGATACCATGAACTCGGTCAACATGCATTTGGAGAGAAATTAGGCCTTTTCATTGTGGTGCCTCAACAACTCATTGTTGAAGTTGGTACCAACATAATTTATATGGTGACTGGAGGGCAATCGCTGAAAAAGTTTCACGACCTTGTTTGCCCGAGCTGCAAGAGTATCAAATTATCTTACTTCATCATGATCTTCGCTTCAGTTCACTTTGTACTCGCCCACCTCCCCAACTTCAACTCCCTCTCTGGTGTCTCTTTGACTGCAGCTGTTGTGTCCTTGGCGTATGATTCTCTCACAAAACTCTCAAGTTTACAAAGTTATAGCAGAAATTGACCTCGAGTTCTTGATTGATTCGCAGTTACTCGACGATTGCTTGGACAGCCTCCGCCACAAAGGGTGTTCAACCAGATGTGGACTATGGATACAAAGCTAGTACTACATCAGAGATTGCTTTTAACTTCTTAAATGGTCTGGGAGATGTGGCTTTTGCTTATGCAGGGCATAATGTGGTGCTCGAGATACAGGCAACAATCGCATCTACACCAGAGAAGCCCTCGAAAGGACCGATGTGGAAAGGAGTCGTTGTTGCTTATATCGTTGTTGCCCTGTGCTACTTCCCTGTTGCTTTTATTGGATACTGGATGTTTGGAAATTCTATGAAAGAAAACATTTTGATGTCACTAGAGAAACCTACATGGCTTATTGCAATTGCTAACATGCTTGTTGTGATCCACGTTATAGGAGGTTACCAGGTAAACTTCTTCGATCGATGTCAAATCTTTGTATCTGCAGTTTGAATGAACAGCTAGCTGTTCGATGTAATTAAACAAAACGTACTTGTTTGTGTGACTGCAGATATATGCAATGCCAGTGTTTGACATGATAGAAACTGTATTGGTGAAGAAAATGCATTTCAAGCCTAGTTTTACGCTTCGATTCATAGCTCGGAACGTATATGTCGGTAAGTAAGCTTTAAATAATTCCTGCCATTTCAAACAATACTAAACTTAACTAACTGGGTTTTATCCTATGATTTACTGCAGCAATCACAATGTTCATTGCAATTTGCTTCCCTTTCTTTGGTGGTCTACTTGGATTCTTTGGAGGATTTGCCTTTGCCCCAACAACATATTTCGTAAGACAACTTTTTACTTTTGGTCATCTTTCTTCTTGTTTCTCATTCTTGTGGAGTATCTCAGTTCTCGAACCCGAAATTACAATGCTTGCTTACCGATACTTCTCGTTTCATTTTGCTTTCTCAGCTACCCTGTGTCATGTGGCTTTCCCTTTACAAACCCAAAATGTTTGGATTCTCTTGGTGGACTAATTGGGTAATGCTCTCCTCGCACAAAGCTTGTTTTAAAATCTTAAGGGAAGCCAAGCCCGAAAAGAACAATATTTGCTAGTGGTGATGCTAATATTTTCTTCTCTTCATCGGTTTCAGATATGCATCGTACTTGGAGTGGTTATAATGGTCACAACGCCTGTGGGAGGACTCAGAAATATCATACTTCAATCCAAGAACTACGATTTCTTCTCATAAATTACAACAGCTTCACTCAGAACTCAAAAGAAGCATATGACAATAGTATCCATAGGTATGTTGAATTATAAAGATAAATAGAATCCTAGAGTCCAAACTATCTTATAGAGGGATTTACGGTGTCTAATCCCTTGTTCAGTATCTTTGTAAATACAGTAATTTCAATGCTAGTTACATTGTCAAACTTTAATCATTATCAACCATCAATGGAACAGTATTGCTCCCATTTACGGACAAAGGGAATGAAACATTCTTATTAGGGTGTGGAGACCTCTCCCTAGTAAACACGCAACCTTGAGGAGAGGTCTAGAAGGGAAAGCCCAAAAGGACAATATCTAAGCTTTGGCTGTTACAAATGATATCAAAGTCAGACACCAAGCAGTGTGCCAGCAAAGAAGCTGGGCACCTAATGAGGCGGATTGTGAGATCCCATATATGTTGGAGTGGGGAACGAAGCATTCCTTATAAGGGTGTAAAAACTTCTCCCTAGTGGACAGATTGAGGAAGCCGGAAGGGAAAACTCAAAAAGGACAGTATCTGTCCGCAGTGGTCTTGGGCTGTTACATATGGTATCAGAGCCAGACGCTAGGCAGTGTGTTAGCGAGGACGTTGGGCTCCCAAAGAGGTGGATTGTGAGATCCCATATTTGTTGGAGCAGGGAACTAAGCATTCCTTACAAGGGTGTGGAAACCTCTCCCAAGGGGACACGTTTCAAAATCTTGAGGGAAAACCTAGAAGGAAAAAAGCTCAAAAAAGACACTATATGCTAGCGGTGGGCTTAGTTGGTTACGTTACCCTCCCTTCATTTCATCATTTTATTGAGAATTATCTTCCCTACTTGCATAGCTCACAAGAACAGTCAGAATCTATAAGTTATTAGACAAATTTCTGTAACTCAGATCATACTAAAAACTTAACAACACAGGAATTCACAACATATTTATATATATACCACATGAAAAAGAACAATAAATTACTCATTGAAGAAGAACAACAACAAGAACAAGAACAGAGCATCATAATTCCATATAAGAGATAAAAACAGAAAGTTACCGACCACAGAACTCTCTTCCATGGAGAAATCTTGATACCCTTTTTCCTTCTCTGAATCATCACTGAATAGAAGATGAATCCCAATGGCTACCTCCTCCTTCTTCTTCTTCTTCTTCTTCTTCTTCTTCTTCCGATGTGGGTTTAAACAATCCCCACAGAAAGCCTCTCTCCCCTCCATTGTTGCAGACCAAAACAGAGACAGAGCTTTTGAAGAAGCTCCAATGGCTTCCTTCCTCCTACCTCCCCTTCTTCTTCTCCATCTTACTGCTTCTTTCTCTGTAAAGCTCAATCCACAGATTCATAATCCACAAAATACTCACAGAAATGGCGGTCGCCACAACAAAAATCCAAGAAATCCAAAGCCATTTAGGAATCACACTCTCAGCTCCACCATTAACGTAGAACTCCCCCATCTTGTACAGAAAATACGGCCCAAAAAACCCTCTAACAATCGAATACAGCACATAAAATGGAGGAGACAGAAGATCACAAACCCTACCGGCAAACTCAACATCGCCTCTTCTCGCTCTAGCAAGCGTCCAAGCGTTCTGACAAAAGCTGGTGATCTCAGCGAGAATCAAAAGGACAAGAATCGCATAAGCGCCATGGGAGACAACATATCGGCAAGTGAAGAACACGAAGAGAGTAACCAAATGATGGGCGATGAACAGCACATCGGCAGGGAAGAAGACGAGATAGTGCAATAGATCCATGAGAAAGTAAGCGATGCTGTACTCGAGAACAGAGTTTTGAAGATCGGTGTTCGGTGACGCGAAACCGCGACCGGCGTCGGAAAAAATAGCGCCGGAAGCTAAGAACACGGCGGGGGTTCCATGAGCAAAGGAAATCGCGCAACTCGATGCTTCCGGCCGGATCTTAGGGCTCCAATTACGAAACAGAAAGAAATAAGCAATGATATAGATCGTGAAGAAGATGGAGAAGAAGAACGGAAGAGGGTTGAGATGGGTTTCCATCGGAACCCGGTGATCGGAAAATTTGAACGCGGTGAAAAGGGAGGGAATGGATTTTTTGGGAGAATCAAACCGAAAAAGCGAGATGGGTTTTCGGATTGCAAAAGATTGAAACCCAATAAATAAACAATGATCCAAACTTTTTGTTTTTTCTTTTTTCTGCAGAATCTTCAAAAACTTTGTAATAATTTTATATTTTAAATTTATTATTCTATTTTTTTCTAATTTTTAAATATAATTAAGATTTTTCTATCCTCCAATGTAGATGATTTCCTCGTCTTCGTCTCTATATGAAAATTTTCATAAAATTTTGTCCTATTAGCACCGGTCGAGATATTTTTTAGATTGTAGAGTTAGTTTGCTAATAATAAAATCTAACGTAACTTAACTTATAATATTTTAATTGAATTTGATTGGTTCGGGTTGATCTAATTATTTATTTTATTTTAAAATAAATTTATTTATTGAAATTAGATTTTAATATATATTTTAAAATTACTTTTAGAGAAGATGAAATAAAAAATCACAATTTTAATTAATAAAAAAAAGACGTAAATATCTCTATTATTTGTTGCAAAATAAGAATATTTAGAATATATTCTTTATCTACCAATTATTTTGGTTAGTGTCAATTTAATTTAATTAATTCATAAAAAATCTAATTTATCGTAACGCTAATAATCGCTCTTATTAGAAGGCGACAAATGTGAACCCGAGAGTTGAACTTGAAGCGAGATGAGAATCTGAGACAAATGGGCTTGGCCACTCTTGCTTTATATATATATATAATTGGGTTAGTTCGGGTTGACCTAGTTCCTTGCCTACTGAACCCATACCCAATTTGAACCGAATTAAGTCTATAAAAAAAACCCTATCCAAACCAACCAAACCCTTGTAGTTCGAGTTGGGTTCTCGAGTTACCGAGTTGACCGTACACCCCTAATTTCAGGTACCACTATTTTACTTTAAAAAATGAAAAAAAAAATATCGACACTATATAGATCTAACTTTAAAATTTATTTGACGTTTAGAAGTCGTCAGTAGATATTCAAATTTAGAATTTTGAAATTTAAAAAGTTGAAGGAAATGGTTGGAATTGGATGATCAAATAAAGTAAAGTGTAGGTTATACTTCATAATAGAGTAAGAATAAATTATAATAATTATATTAAAGAGACATTATTAATTTTCATGTATAAATATATGTAAATATAGGTAGGCAATGGTAGGTCACCTTTCACATCAACTTATGTTTCTAACCATATGCATTCAATAATATCAATCCAAAATTAATAAATAAATAAATAAATAAATACCCGAATGAACCATAGCCCGTCTTTACCTAATTCAATGCCTAAAGACTCCCATGTCTTTTTTGGTTGGACCAACCCAACCAGCAATTTTTGTCTTCCTAAGTTGGGAGAAAAAGACTAAAGTGAGTTTGCAATCGTGTGACACTCGCTTTCCAACATAAAGTGAGTCGAGCTAATTTGTATTCACATCACCTATAACGGGAATCATATTGATTTTTCGATCAAAAATACTAAGTGAAATCTTCGTTTTTTTCCTCTTTCTCTATCCATATCCCGCAGATATCAATAAAGAACCTTTTCTTTTGTATCTGTATGAATCGATATTATTACATTCCAATTCCTTTCCGATACCTCGCGAAGAAAATTCCGAATTGGATCCAAAATTGATAAGTCTATAGCCTCAATTTGAGAAGAAGTTTTAAAAAACAGAGGCATATAAATTTTAAAAGAGTTCGAAAAGCAAGATTGAGGAAGATTGAAAACAATACTCCCTAAGACGAGCATGACCACAACACAAAGCAATTCTATGAATGATAATACAATCAACAATCGTAAAAGTTAATACGCTTGAATCAAAGAACAAACATTTTAGAGCAGCATCGTACATTGAGACTACGATTTTATGAATTATTTGAGAAAAAAAACTAAAACCATCTGGAACGTTAGAAACTTCGAAAACCATAAAAGACGATTTTAACTTGTTCCGAACAATACGACACGAACCAAAATTAGTAGGAGGAACACAAAAAGAAAACCCCTAGAGAATTAGGAGAAAAGTTGGTGCTAAAACTAAAAGTCCTGTTTTCATTCACAGACCCATATGTGTATGTTTTGAAGTTATCTCAATGTACAACACACAATACAGATAAAGAACACTGCTCGTTTCCAAACCAAATCAGAAGCACTTTCTAAATGATGGCTTCGATTCTGTAACCAAATCAATCAGGAACAACACTGCCCACTTCTATCCTAACTTCTTCCTAAAATATAAATATAATCAATGATCATCATGAGGAAAGGAACACCAATTTCTTCACTCAAAAGGAAATATTCTTCTATTCATTAGCCTTGATGATCATCAGTTCTATCATGAGTTCCCAACATCACACTCCCTAATCAATTTCACCTTCTTCTACATCTTTTATAGCGTTCGAAGATATGTAATTCGGCTCGATCTCCTCGTCCTCTTCATCTGCTTTTATGAACAAACCCAGTTGTTCCAATGGATTGCTCCCTACAAATTTGAAACTACCCAGACCGTCTTGTGAGTGATCGGGGCTTGTTTCGTCAACCGAGCTTGGTAACTGCTCGGTTGGAGCAGCTTTGAGCATCTCCCAGTCTTCCAGGAATTGGGAGTTCTCATCTATTATAACAGTTTTCTCTATCTGCATTGTATTTAAGTGAATGAGCAAAAACTACGGAGTTCTGGGTGACTAATCTGGCGCTTAGATTGATTGCAATTTACCTGCAGCAACGCCTGTCGTGCTGCTTCTCTGTCGAGCTCCCTCTTTCGTTTAGCTTCGGCTGCAGCTTCTGCTTCAGCTCTTCTTTGTGCATCTTGTGCAGTCTTGGCTTCTGCTTGCAGTCGTGCTTTTTCTACATTTCATGTACAGAATTTGTTAAAACACAAGCGGAAATACATCATAAACCACAAGAACAAAGCCAGATAAAGTTCACAAGTCATTCCAACTACCTTTCCTCTGCTCCAGTTCCAGTTCTTCCCTCTCCCGTCGCAACTTCTCGGGATCACCCTTGTCACCCTGATCTCGGCCCAGATTAAAATGCACACCATCCAGATCAAAACTTGCAAGCTCTCATAGCAAAATCCATTAAAAGTAGTACGATGCTAAACAAGTACGCCGTGTATTGAACCAACCTGTGTCATCGTCTTTTCTTTAGCTCTTAAAATTGTGTCGGCAAATCGGTTCTTCAGAAGAGCAGCCCGGTAAAGCCTCTCAGGAGAGACACGTTTATCAGAGTAGTTACCTGCAATATTCATTAAATGAATTAACCGGAATGCACACAAGAGGGGTACAAATTCTCACTCTTAGAGTGAGCTAGACATGCCTTTAAGTTTATGCACTTTTTCTTAAAAAGTTTTAAATAAAAACACTTTAAATAACGCATTGTTTACATTTTTTTGAAAGAGCTTTCAAGAACAAATTTGTTTGGTTGCCTACATTCAAAAAAGAATCTACTAGTCATAAATATGTTTTTTGTTCTTATAAAAGTCGCTTATGATCACCTCCAAGTGTTTCTTCCAAAGAAGTTCTCTCATCAATCTGGTTTGTTGAAATTTTCTTTTGTTTATTACCAAGCACGTAATTTTTTAAAAGTGTTGTCATCTAAGATCACTTTGTTTTTTTTTTTTTTTTTTTTGATAAGAGATGTATAATCTATGATGTTCACAAAAGACAATTTGCAATGAGGGAGGTATAACTAGGAAGTAAAAATATTAGACAGTTTACACCAAGATATAGTCATCTAAGATCACTTAAAAACTTGACACATTCTAAATCAGTGATTAATCTGAAAGTGATCAAGGAAAAAGTAATTTCATTTAAAAGCCTTCTTTTTTCTTTTTTCTTTTTTATAAAGAACAACTCCAAACACACACTTAAAACTCACCATCCTGATTGCAATCTGACTCGGTAGAACTAGGCTTGCCTGAAGTCTGCTCAAGTTGTTCGTAGCCACCTTCAAATTCTGTGGGAAGTCGTTAAATAGCATGAGTGACAAAAGCAAATGCTTCAAATTCAACATCCATTATCACGCCCAATAACAATATAAAACAAAAACTCAGAATGGTGCCAAGAAAATTAAGGAACTACTTAAATTATGATTTAAATTATAAAAAAAAAATACACAACATAAATGAGGCACAGTCATGGCAGTTTTCTTCTTTTTATTTGTGATTGCAAAGAAGGAAAACATCAATCCCACTGCAGATGGATATCATATGCCTATTACTAAACATCATTTAAAGAACACAAATTTGGTGGACAATACAAATAAGAGAAAGGTCAAGTACGAGTTTGTTGGGGGGGGGGGGGGAAAA